AATCTATCCTAATGTCTCCCCATCTCTTCTTCTTACCTTTTACCAGGTAGGGGGATATAATGCTGCAAGCCCTGGTGGTCCAGTGGTGGCAGGTTCACTTTAGCCTGCAGCTCCTCTGTCTGCAGGCTGACTCTCCTGTCCTCCTGTGAACACAGCACTGTATCGGAGCATTGCCGCGGCAATGCTACGACCAGCCTGCTTGTGGGAGGAACACAGAGCCTTCCAGGCCCTTCCCTCCCTCTGCTGGAACTGAGATCTTTGATCTCCTCACCAGCCAGAGAGCTTACAGAAAGGCTGGCTCTGCATGGTCCGGCAGAGGCCATCGAGGCCCACTGGGTGTTTTCTGTAGAACCCACCACCGCCAACCTGAAATCCCACACTGTCCACTAGTGGGCGGTAGGGACTAGGTTGACAACCCCTGATTTAGACGGTTTAACTTTTTTGTACCAAAATTTTAAATTCAGCTTGAATTCCTGACAATTCCAAATTTATTGAATAACTTTGAGTGACATGACAGATACATTCACACATTATGAAACACAATAAAAAAAAAAGAGGGCTGGCAACGTTTGGCCAGGGAGAGCAAATTGAGACAAGTAGCTTTTTTGTGCTTATAACTGTGGACGGGTCTACTGATGCGGTGCATGTGACAAATACGTGTGACAGATGGCGACTAATAAAGCTGCAAAGTGTGACATCAAATAGTTCTGCAACTTACATTAGTGTGACCTGCACAGCATGAAATAGCATTTAAAGAGATTTGTGTGCAGATTCTGTTCTGTGTGAGGCCATCACCACCAAAGACAAGTGGCGTGTCTCGTGAATGTCATGAGTATTGCGTCAGCTAACCCTGTGGTCACTTGCTAACCCATCCTGGAACATCATACATACTCATCATAGTCCATGAAATATCCTAATGGACCAGTCCAGGCCAGGAGAACATTTAGATTGTAGGCCACCAGCCCATACACAACCCCACACAGTGCTGGGCTAACAAGATCCTGCAAAATAGAAATAGAATAAACAAGTGAAAAAATGGCACTTAAAATTAGATCAATATATAAACCAATAAATAAAAACTTTTTAGAAATAAAACTGCACCTATGCCGTGTATTATCCCCCAAAAACACTCCAAATGCAATAAAAACTTAAAAAAGGTGCGCTATAAATTAAAGTGCATATTCAAAAAAGTATGGCTGTCATTTAACAGCATAACATATACAGTATAAAAGTGCAATATGCAACCCCACTTACATAAAGTGACAAAGTGTATGCTGATAATCTGCATATATGTGCGAAATATTTATATATAAAAGTGCAATATGCAAGGCAACACACATGCAAAGTGATTTAGTGTATACATTAGTAACAACTTACACTAAAAATATCTCCAGATGAATAATTTAAACGATTTAATTGCCTATGAGAAATTTGCCAAATTCTATTAATTATTGATACTACTGTTATCGTTTATTTATTGACCTAACAAAGTTACAATGCTGGACAGTGGATAGATTGGGTATACGATATAATAATAAAACGTAGCTTGATATAAAGAAGCAACGCAGCACAGTATACCATTGAGCACATTCTCATTTAAGTTTGATTGTAAAGTCTTTGAAAAGTAATTATGAAGATCTGTGGTGTCTCTGCTACGACCAGATGTAACAGTCACTTTGCACTATATTTAAGTTCATGAGTGATCTCAACAGTCAAGATATGTACAATTTAGATTTAATTTACTTCCCTCTGCAGTATGCTGCTGTGTGCAGCAAAAGCAATTATCTATGTACTTTGTTCGTGCATCTGCTTTGATGATGTCCAATCAGTTCTACATGCGATTCTGAAAGCAATCTCAGGCCAGTAATGTCCATCTGCCTGGTACAATGCCACGTCTTCTCAACCTACCGATACCCAAATGGAGAATTGAGAAGTCTTCATGGTCTGTCTACTAAGCCTGTAGAGGTGCAAAAAATGCACATGGGACATGGTTAAGAAAGACACCTTGGGACGGTAGATTTGCACATTCTGTATCCTTATGCAGCATCTGTGAAACATTATTCCTGGACAAGAAATAAACCTTTATAGACAGATGACGTGCTTGGATGTCAGCATGATGGTCTGGTCCTCACTTCATGATTCTACAACAGGCTTCACCTGGAATGTTTTCAACTGGTATTAAAATAATTTACACATGCTGTTTCACTCTCAAAAAACAAGTAAATGGCATCTGTGTTTTCCCCGAATTTTCCATGCTATAAGAAGAATTGTGTGGCACGCTACTAAATAGCACACAAAATAGTTTGTGGGAAAAAAAATCAGTCCACGGTTGCTTGTAACTAAACATAAATAGAATAGTTCTCAAGAGGTTTTAGCAAAAAAAATAAATTGCAATCAAACATAAAGAAAATCATCTATTTATACTTTCTCGTTTAATTAGAAAAGCGCTAAAACAGACCCCACTCACATTCTATGTTCATTTGTTCATCACTAGTTTGCACTTGAAAGTATCGTTTTGTCAAAATTGTAACATAAATTCCTTTTCTCTTGGAATATAGGACGCACCAGGCTATAAAATGCACCCATATATTTTGACCAGAAATTTAGGAAAAAATAAATAAAATAACCTGTACCATGATTAAAATTTAGCTTATATGTATAGGGGATGTAGCGCGTGTGAGTATATAGGCATGCAGCAAGTGTGTGTATAGGGGATGTGGTGTGTGTTTAGGGAATGTAGTGTATGTGTGTGTGTAAGGGATGCCATGTCTGTGTGTCTAGTGCATGCAGTGTATCTGTGTGTAAGGGAGAAATTGTGTGTGTGTGTAAGGGATGCAGTATGTGTATAATGGATGGTGTGTAAATTTGTAGTGTGGGATAGTGGTTGTGATCTGTGGGGTGTGAGAGGAGAAGCTATATATTCTATTATTTTTTATTGCTTTATATAATGTTAGTTCCCCCTCCCTGACTCCTATCCCTGGTCAGCGAAGGGGACAGGTAATTCCCTGGTGGTAAAAGCTGCTGATACTACTTCTACAAATCCTCTGGAGTTCCGTTGGCAGAAGCTCCTGCTTCAAATCCCCTGGTGGTACAATGAAGTGCCAGCTTGCACCTCTGCAAGCTCTTACCGCGTGCCCTGAAGCAGGGGGCTGGAGCATTGCCTTGGTAACCTGCGGGAACACTCTGACAGGCCCGACTTGTAAGAGAAAGAGGTGAAGGTTCAGATAGAGAGTTGCTTTTGGCAAATAGGATGCAGACTATTTTCCCAAAAACTTTGGGGGGAAAAAGTGCGTCTTTCATTCTGTTTCAACCAGTTTCTGTTTTGCAGCCAGCCTCTAAGAGAATCATTGCACCAGCACTATCAGAATCAGTATATTACAGTCCTGGAGCAAGGGTATAAGGGTTAATATGTTGATGTGAAGAATTAGTTATTTTTCTATACTGATGGAACACATGGCAAATATTGCCACACATGTGGGATTCCCACGAAGGGTTAGTTGATATTCTAATAATCCTTACTCTCTCTGGGGATCCAAGTAAATAGTGTATTAGTGTAATTGGGGTTTTTGTGTAAAAAGGTACAGTTCAAGTCCTGCTAGCATTAGTGAGGATTTCATTCCCCTACTGATGATAAGGGGAGGGTTTAAGTCAGCTATCAGCACTTATAAAGAATGTCCTATTCAGGTTTGCCCACCCCCAAAAAATTACTTTTGTTTTGTCCCTAGGGCTGTGGTAACAGCATTCGTTTGCTAATTTGATATTTTGCTTTCCTAACCCCTATTGCTTGTAACAGGCTAATTAAGTATAGTGAAAACGGAAACTTCACAGAGTAAAGATAATGATAAAAAAATGTGACAAGAAGGGAAATAAATTTAAGGTTATCAACTCCATAAGAGCTATCTAAACGTGGAGGAAATTCTAGTGTAAATGAGACTAGGCTGTTTCCACTTTTACGGGAAACATGTGAGGCTTCTGTGAGTAGAATAACAAGGGGTATTGGTACGAGTCTACCCCATTTGTAGAAATGTTAGACTGGACAGAGGTCATGGAAGACCCTAATCTGTTTCTACAAGAAGGTGTCCTCTGTCAGACACATTTGTCATGTTACCATAGTCTGCTCATTCTCCAGTAACCCTTCTACTTCTTGGACCACAACTTTAGACTTCATGTATTTTGAGTCTGCAGTTAAGGTCTCAGGGGCTTGTATCACTGTATGTTCAGGTTGGAGTTCGGAGTTGAGTGAGGGCCCTAAATAACAATAAGGGGGGGACCTACTGTCTTCCCCCCAGCCCCTACCCCTGTGCAGCAGGTGGGGGCCCTAAATAACAATAAGGGGGAACCTATTGTCCTCCCCCCCGGCCCTAACCCCTGAGCGGTGGGTGGGGGCAAGAAATAAAAATTGGGGGGGACCTAATGTCCTCCCCCCAGCCCCCACCCCTGCACGGCGGGTAGGGGCCCTAAATAACACAAAGGGGAGGGACCTAATGTCCTCCCCCCAGCCACCACCCCTGAGCTGTGGGTGGGGGCCATAAATAAAAATTGGGGGGGACCTAATGTCCCCCACCCGGCCCCCACCCCTGCACGGCGGGTGGGGGCCCTAAATAACAATAATGTCCTCCCACCGGCCCCCACCCCTGAGCGGTGGGTGGGGGCCATAAATAAAAATTTCCCCCAAACCCCTAGTCATCCCCCTCCCCCAAAAAAACCCAAACCCCTACCTACACCCCTCACCCTAAAAATAATGAGGGGGGAGCATTAACTAAGTACCTGCTAAAAAAGATAAAATAAAACTTACCATTTGATGTTTTCTTTCTTCTTTTTTCAGCCCCAAAAAAGGCCAAATCAAAATTCATAATAACCGACACACTTAAAAAAAAAAAAAGAGCGCAAAAAAATTATAATCCATCTTCACCAATGGAGGGCTCCGTGCAGACTGAGCTCTGCAGAGCGGGGAAAGGCTAATAAAGCCTTGCCTCGACCTGCAATTAGGATCAGAGCACTCTTATTGGTGGGTTTAAGCCATCCAATCAGAGTGCTCTGACAGGTTAATGTCACAGCACTCTGATTGGTTGGCTTGAAATCCACCAATCAGAGTGCTTTGTGTCATTTTACACAGCGTGGGAAAGTTCTTTGGAATTTTCTCACGCTGTGTAAAATGAAACAGAGCACTCTGATTGGCTGGATTTCAAGCTAACCAATCAGAGTGCTATGTGTCATTTTACACAATGTGGGAAATTTCTTTGAATTTCTCTGAACCTCGGGCCAATCGCACATCCCTGTGGCGACGACTTTGCATGCGGATGTCATCCATAGCAACTTTCGATGCCAGTTTCTGCGCCTACCATGGTGACCACGGGTAACGGGGAATCAGGGTTCCATTCCGTACAGGGACCATGAGAAACGGCTACCACATGGAAGGAAGGCAGCAGGCGCGCAAATTACCCATTCCCAACGCGGGAAGGTAGTGACGACAAATAACAATACAGGACTCTTTAGAGGCTCTGTAATTGTAATGAGGCCACTTGAAGTCCTTTAACTCTGATCAATTGGAGGGAAGTCTGGTGCAGAGCCACTGACCCGTGTGTGCTGCAGCAGAAACTCCACTATCGCCTGCTGCTGCTCGCACAGTCTCATGAGGCGGTGAGCGGGAAGGCCGAAGTTATGCTGCAGCGCAGACAGACGAGCAGCAGCAGGGTGACAACGCCAAAAGCGCGCACAACCACAGCAGTGAATTTCACATCCTGTTCCAAGTTGCGGATCAGTCTGGTGATGGCTTCTGGTATCGAGTACTCTTTTTACTGAAGCTGCATCAGGGTCCTGGTATGTGGCCGCACAAATGCTGGTGCTCAACACCACGGGGCATGCGGTTACCCTGCACCAGACCCTGCTAATCCATTCCACTCTGTGACTCCTAACTTCAACATCAGGCATACTGGGTCCCGGTCATCCGACCGCCGCCCAGACAGTGTCTCGGTCCTGGTCACCGGACTGCACACCTGACTGTGAAACTATGAATGGATCATTAAATCTGGTACAAATCTGGTTGCAGTTCGGGTTCGCTCAACTCTATTATGGATCCTTTGATTGCTACATGTATTACTTGGATAACTGGTAATTCTCTAGCTAATACATGCCGACGAGCGCTAGGGGACGGCCTCTCCGCTTTTGCACCCTGCTCCCTCTTATGCTGTGCTGGTGCCTCTGTGCGACCAGCGCCTCTTCCTCCAAACTGCATACGTCACTTGCATGACCTTGATTCCATGTGGGGTCTAGGACCTCATCATCCTCCACATCATCTTCCACCCACTCCTCAACCCTGCCCTCCTTGCCGGTATGCACACTGCAGCAGTTGGCACCTGTGTTTTTCCAGCATGTAAAGTCTGCAAAGGACATATGGAAATTGTTTTAGAATTGTATCCAGGCAACAGTTTTCCCTATAAACTGACCTATCAGTTTGACTTGTGAGGGTATTGCCCCAGAATTGCAATATTGTTGAAGTACCTCTTAGCTATTGATCACTGGTTTAAATATAGCAGCTTGTTATCTGGTAGTTTCTAGTGTAGAAAATATCAATCTGTTTTCTATAACTTAGATCTGTGTAACAAGTGTTGTAGGTGAGAAACAATATAACAAGTGACAGATGTAGTAAATTTGAATCAAAGTTACGCTTCGATTTGACTCTCAGATATGAAGTGAACACCCCAAATATACTATTTAGCACAAAAAAAAATTGACTTTTTAAAACTCCAATGTAAGCAACAGATTAGCAGCAAAACAATTAGAATGTTTACAACTGCGCAGTAAGCGCACTATTTGACGCTTCAATTTGACTCTCAGATATGAAGTGCACCGCAGGCCGCAAATGTATTATTTAGCAGATTAGCAGCAAAACAATTAGAATGTTTACAACTGAGCAGTAAGCACACTATTAGACGCTTCTATTTGACTCTCAGATATGAAGAGCAGGCCCCAAAATGTACTATTTAGCAGATTAACACCCAGAAAATAAGAATGTTTACCACTGCGCTGTAAGCACACTATTAGACGCTTCGATTTGACTCTCAGATATGAAGTGCACCGCAGGCCCCAAAATTTACTATTTAGCAGATTAGCACCGAGAAAATAAGAATGTTTACCACTGCGCTGTAAGTACACTATTAGACGCTTCGATTTGACTCTCAGAAATTAAGTGCAGTCCGCAAATGTACTATTTAGTAGATTAGCACCCAGAAAATTAGAATGTTTACAAGTGCGCTGTAAGCACACTATTAGATGCTTTTATTTGACTCTCAGATATGAAGTGCACCCTGCTAAAATACTTTTTAGCAGTTTAGCACCCAAATAATTTTAAGTTTTAAAACTGCAATGTGACAGCAGTATTTGACGATTCTATTTGACTCTCAGATATGAAGTGCACCCCACTAATGTACTATCCCACTAATGTACTATTTAGCACCAAAAAAATTTACTTTTTAAAACTCTCATGTAACCGCGGTATTTGAAGCTTCTATTTGACTCTCAGATATGAAGTGCACCCCACCCCACTAATGTACTAATTTGCAGAATTCTTTCCTAAGCTGTCCCTATCAGCGGCAGCATCCTCTCCCTACACTAATAAGACCGCATGTGCGTGCGGCGCTACGCGACTCCAGCTTATATATAGAGGCTGGGTCACATGCTGCACTGGCCAATCACAGCCATTCCATTAGTAGGCATGGCTGTGATGGCTTCTAAGGGCACATGAGTCAAACGCTTGTTGATTGGCTGCCCTGTAGCCTTTGAAAACGCGCCATTAAATCGCCAAACACCGAACTCCAACCCGAACTTACTTTGATATGTCTTTTTTTGGGGCCTGGGTCAAAAAAACGAATGTTCGGTACAAACCCAAACTTTGCGGCTCGAGTTCGCTCAACTCTCAATAGTAATAAATCAATCAATCTAGGAGTAAAATGCCACTATGTAGAGGGACTCTTTTTTCTGAAACATAAGAAGATGTATTAAGTGTAAAAAAGTGATTACGAGAAAATGAGAAATAAAATATTGATATTGCAATCTATAGAAGGAGATTCCAGCTTAATAACTTATTTAATAATTGTTTTATGTATTTAGGCCATTGAATACTATAGTGGGAGTTGGAGTGCAGTGTTTTAGTCGGTTTATAATAACTATAGTGTCAGTGAATTTTACATTTCTTAGTCCCATGCTGTACAGATTTGTCATGTTTTTGGATTCAGTTCTCATCAGTTTTATTTAATTGTGCAGAATAAAGAATGTAATATGTAGGGAAATGGTAATCAGGAGAATGTAAATGAGGTATGGTTTATAAACGATTAGGCTCTGATAACATCCATTTCCAGATGGGGATAAACATTAGGATCATACTACAATCATTACATTCCCCTTCAGAACTCTATACTAGACCCCTGATGTATAGTCCCCAGAGCTGACTCACAGGAGTGAAAAAAACCAAAGCATAATAAAATAGCAATTACACACATGCAGCCAGACAGCCAGCCATCTATGAACTAGCAATACTCACCATGTGTGTTCCTGGCTACCCTCATCCTCCAATCTGCAGTGTATCTCGCTGAAGTTCAGCTCACATTGCTCTCTGGTGCTCAGTAGGTACTGAGAAGCAGAGGAATGTCCAGGAAACCATTGCGCAAAAAAGGTAGACATGGTTATGGTGGCATGTTTATGGGGTAGAGAGCTGCAAAATATTTAGTTCTTTTTTTTTTAATAAAACCTATGTGGAATTAACTGTATTGGTGGTATAGGGTAGGCAACTCAACAACCCAGCAGGAGACTCTCTTTTTTTCCAGGCATATATACGTTGCTTGAATGAAGAGGGGGTGGGTAGCACCTCTCAGTATTTTCTGGTGGTATATGTAACAATGTATATGTAAGAGCAAAGGTGAAAAAATGGAGAAGTGTATAGAAGTATTTCTCATACAGTGGAAGAGAAAAAAAATAGAAAAACACTCTCAAATGAATGGAGCTGTCAAGAGCTCCACTTTTATACATGTAAGCAGTACAATCCTCGCTTATGGATATTTGTTATATTTCTTTGTCCCAATCAGTAATCCTGGTGTATATAGCATAAAAACACACAGATAGGCCAATACAGTTGTCATAAAAATTATTCAACCCCCATTGAAAGTCATGTTTATTGTCAAAATTTACAGAACAAATCAAAGAGACACAATTGAAATAGCTCAACACAATGAATGCTTTAACTGGTTTCCTCAAATTCAACAAAAAATGCAACTTATAATGACTTCTCCAGTCTCAACATTATTCAACCTCCTTAATAGAATCCCTCATAACAAAACAAATATGCAAAACAGGTGTTGTCTCAAGCCCACCTGTTGCAACTAATCAAGAGCTTCATTAGTTACAGTAAGTGTGGGTGTGATGATGGTGTGAAGGGGGAGCGTATTGGAGTGAATGAGTGAGGGGGGTATTGATGGAGTGAGGGGGGGTGATGATGGTGTAATGGAGGGTATTGATGGAGTAGGGGGGTGATGATGGTGTAAGGGAGGGTGCTGATGAGTGGGTGGGTGATGATGGTGTGAAGGGGAGCGTATTGGGTGAATGAGTGAAGGGGGGTATTGATTGAGTGAGGGGGTGATGATGGTGTAAGGGAGGTGGTGTTGATGGAGTGAGGGGGTGATGATCGTGTAAGAGAGGGGGTATAGAGGGTGTGAGGGAGGGGGGTATTGATGGAGTTAGGGAGGTGATGATGGTGTAAGAGGAGGGTGTTGATGGAGTGAGGGGGGGTGATGATGGTGTAAGGGAGGGGGTGTTGATGGAGTGAGGGGTGATGATGGTGTAAGAGAAGGGGGTATAGATGGTGTGAGGGAGTAGGGGTATTGATGGAGTTAGGGGGGTGATGATGGTGTGTGGGAGGGGGTATTGATGGAGTGAGGGGGTGATAATGTTGTAAGGGGGGTGATGGTAAGGGATTAAATACATTTTTTTTGCTCCCTGGTGGTCTGGTGGCCATAATATCCGGTCTGCAGCTCTGTGTATCTCGTGAGATCCAGTCAGAGCATTGCCGTACTGCGGCAATGCTCTGATTGGCCAGATTGTGGAGCTGCAGACCTGTGTCTGCGATTTGGGCTCTCCGGCCGGGCAGAGCAAGTCGCCGGTGTCGGGTCCTCGGTCACTGACCGAGGACACGACACAGTCTGCCTTAAGGCGATTTAGGCGTATTTGAGGCCTAAATCGCCTAATTAGAGAGCTGCCTCAGACCACAGTCTAGCACCTGGTATTAAAACAGTGATAATATTAAAGCAGGAGTGCAAGGCAAGATTGAACTGTATATATATGTATGTGTGTAATATAAAAAAAAAAAAAAAAATATATATATATATATATATATATATATATATATATTACACACATACATATTACATGGCACAAGGACTTAAGAGTCAGGCATACATTTTTTTTCCAGGGCTACTTTGAATTCCCAGTCTGGTCCTGATTGTAATTTGTTAAGAGCTAATGATATTTGGAGGAAAAGTGGACTGTGGCATGGAGGAGACAGGAATACACTTGCACTCTTGGCAAGTTTACTTTACACACAGGCATTTTGCACCCT